AGCGGTGAGGCTGCTCCAGTAATGAGCTGGCAGTGGGACAGCAGCCGCTTAGGCCAAGCCTGAGGTCTTGTCCTTGTTGTGGTTGCTGGGTGGGATCCAGGGGAGACATTTTTGGGCTGACACTGTTGTGCATCTCGGAAGCTGGGGCTGTGCCATTTCTCAGAGATGCGTGCGGCTGGGCAGATGCTGCTGCCACGGGGAGCCCCCAGCCCTGTCACCTCCTGATCCTGGCTTATGTCGCTGTGCCCACTGGAAGCAGCCTGGGGCAGGGTAAATGTGGTTTGGTGCTGTAGCAGATTCACCTGGAGGGCCTGAGCAATGCCTAGCTGCCTCCAGATGAGGGTTTCTTTCCTGCTGCCTCCCTGAATTTAGTGCTTGGGCCATCACCAAGCCCAGATTCCTCCCCAGCTTCAGCTGGGAAAGCAACAAGGGTGCAGTTTTCGTGACAGTTGGCTGCAAAAACAGGGAGACTGTCTGAACTCATGGGCTCTAAAGCCAGAGCAAACCTCTTCAGGGACTTGCTTGGAGTGCCACCGTGGTGATATGCCCCACAGGATGGCAGGTTTGTGCAGGCCTTCGTCCTGTTACGAATGTTCAGTGTGAAGGGGGATTTTCTGGTCTCCAAGGACAGACAGGTCATGCTACGTTGCCTGACAGCTCTTCTTTTTCCCACCTCCAGTGATCATTGAGAAGGCTGCTGGAGATGCAGAGGCCGTTGCTTTTGATGGTAGGACGTATATGGAGTACCACAATGCCGTGACAAAGAGGTAATTTGGCTGCTGAGCTGAAGCAAGGTCGAAACAAGGTGATAGGGCTTGTTGTTAGCAGGAGGAAGAGCTAAGGTCAAAGAAGTCCAAGTGCAGCGGTAAAGGGAAGGGCAAGCCAAGCTGGGGCCATGAGAAATCACTTCCAGCCCTTACCTCTGAAGCTGCCCCTTCTCCAGCATCTGCTCCACCCTGACACCCTGGGCTGGGAGTATGTGTTTGCACCCTGTGGTCTTTGTGGCCGTGCTGGTCCCTGGGGCTTCTCTCTCCAGACAAGCAGAGTCCTCGCCGTAGCTGCTGACCGAGCTCCTCTTCAGCCTCTAGGCTGGATATTTCTCCCACGGGAGACTCTCAGTCTGCTGCAGTCTGGCTCAGTACCTTTCCTCAACTCTGCTCCTACAGTCCCCGTGCTTCATCCCCCAGCTCCGTGGCACTGGGGCAGGGTGTGGGATTTAGGCTCTGTCCATCTGCCTCCTACACCCTCAGGTTCCCCCCTGCCTGGGGAGGGTGTCGAGCTTTTGTTTGTCGAGCCGTTTGTCGCTCTCCTGTCTGTCTGTCTGTCTCTTCTCAATGTCCTTGTTCCTTTGCTTTCAAGCCACCTGACCAATGAGATTCCCGCGTAAGTACAGTCCTCCCCGCAGCCCCTCCACCACATCTCCCATTGCCACCCCCCTCCTCCTCCAGCCCACCCTGCCAGGAACCCGCTGTGGGAGGGGGAATAAGGGCGCTCACCCAGGGGTCTGCCCTGGGCAGGCGTGTTCCCACTTCAGAGCGAGGAGTACACGGGCACTGGCCACAGCTCTGGCAGCTTCGGAGCTGCGCTGAAAAAAAAAGTCCCAGCAGCTGCAGCTCAGCTCTAGTTTAAGAAGGGTTTCTTCCCCAGAGAGGACTTGACAGCTGTTGATTTGCTGTCTGTCCTGGTGAGTGGCTGCAGTGGAAGAGAAGCACTGATCCACCTATTCCCCACTGGGTGGGGGAGAGTTTGAGTGATACCTGCCTGTCACATCCCCATTTCACCTCATTTTCTGCAGGCTGGGGTCAGACAGAGGCTGAGCTGCGTGCATGCGTGCTTGTCGACACCTGGGGAGCCGCAGAGCCCGTCAGCTGCGCGTTCGCAGCAGTCTTGGGGCTTGCTCTGGTGTTTTGGAAAGGGCTTTCTAGGAGCCAAGCATCCCCCTAAGCTAGACAGCGAGAGGCATGTAGGTGCCTGCACAACAGCTCTGCCATGTGGCAGTGTCCAGCTGTCCCTCTGCACAGACATGAGCCACATCCCTAGAGATGAGCAGAAAGCTGCTGCCTTCGCGTCCTGCCTCTCCCAGAGCTCTGCAAAGGGAAGGTCACCGTTCCCAGCCTCCTCCCAGCCTGAGCCTGCCCATTTTGTCTGTGCATGCCCCGTCTTGCAGGGGAGCTTAGCACTTCTCCCCAGATCTCTCTGCTGGGATTTGGCAGTGGCACTCGCTAGCCCTGCCAGGGCTGAGGGACCCATTGGGCTGCCCATAAAAAGTAGTTTCTCCTGCCTCCAGGCGGACACCAGGGTGTGCCTTGAGCAGAACGAACGCTCCAATTGCTACACGGGGCTCTGCTGGCCATGACATGCCCATGGGTTGTTTTTTTTTTTGGACATACATTTTTATATGTACATCTAGTTAGAGCCTGTAGCCCCTCGCGCTCGCAGGCGGTGCCAGCAGGACAGCTGTAGCCCTGGGTTTCCCCTTCTCCACGCACACCCTGCTGCCCGAGTGCCCCAAGGCTGACTCAGAGACCCTTACGTGTCGTCGGTTCAGCTGTCTGCCTAGATGGGAATCTGTTCTGCCGCATCCCAAAAAACCAGCCTGAAACCTGCCTGCAGGGCTTCTCAGGTAAAGGTGCTGGTGCAGGGCCTTGCGCCAAAAGCTCCTTTCTCCCAAAAGCGTTGCCCCGTGTCCAGTCCGTGCTGGGCAGTGTTGGGTGATCAGCAGGAGCGCTGATAGTCCTGACCCAGGAGACTGTTGCAGACACCGCTGGGACAGGGCTGTCCTCACTCATTGGCATTGTTATTCTCACCTCAGCTAAGCAACAACTTGCAAACTTGTCTCTCAGCCCTAAGGCTGGGGGCTGAGGCTCACGCTGGGCAGTTTTCTCAGCTTTTTGTAGTTTGAAGGGCTGTCGCTGCTGAGCAGGGCTGTTCCCTGCCTGTGAGCGGGATGGGAGGGAAGGGTCTGCTCCTCCGCGCTGTCCCGCGCTTATCGCACGCTCCCCTTTCTTCCCGCATCTTGAGTCCCGAAGCGCTGGACTATCCTGCGGAGCCCAGGTGAGTCTGTGCCAGGCTTTCAGCTCGTGTGTCTCGTGCTCTGCTCTTGCTGCCTCAGCATGTCTCTGTCTCTGTGCGTGTGTTCTGTGTGTCCGTGCCCTTGGCTTTTTATTTATAAGGGGTACAGCTCTGCGCATCGTGAGAGTAAATGGGAAGGATGCGCTGTCCTTCCAGCATAGGAGGCTCCAGCTCTGGCCCTCGCTTCTCAGGGACCCAGACAGCAAATAGCCATGGGTGAGGAGAGAGGCTGAATTACCTTGACAGTGCAGCCCTCGTCCAGCCCTTTGGGCACAGTATCCCTTGGGAATAAAAAGCTCTCTGTGTTGTCTGGTCTGTGTGTGCACATGTGTCAGTAGCGTGTCTAGGAGCATCCCAGGAGAGCGGGTGGCAGCTCCGTGTGCGACGTCACCTGTTGCCAAGACCCTTTTGCTTGTTCCGAAAGGAAAGGAGCGAAGATGGGGATGCCAATGTGACGGAAACCCCGTCCTTCCTTCCTTCCCCTGTTGCGAAAAAGACACCATGTGTAGGAGAAAGAAGGCTTTGCTGCCTTTAGGAACAGAGCGGAGGCAAAAGCAAAACTTGTGTGTCACAGCAGGGGTTGATGCGTCTCAACCTTGTGCTCCATGGGAGGCAAAAGCAAGGGGCAGTAGCCCCAGGCTCTGTCTCTGGAGCTTCCAACTGGATGTTGGGGAAAACACTTCACACCCAGAACTGTGCAGCCCTCGCTTAGGTCAGCAGG